TTCCATATACCAACGTAATTTAAAATATCAAACTACAATTTCTTATTCCTTTTTAAAATTATCTAAAATAGGTGTTGGTCTTCCATTTTCAATTATCTCCTTTTTTTCTTAAAAGTTATACAAGAAGAATGACTTTTCAAGTAGTTGATCGATTACGCAGCGACACCCATCCATCTTTAATTGAACGCAGACTACCGCTGGTAACCAAAACGGCTATTGACGAGTGAGTAGTGAGTAAGCGAATCAAAAAATGGTAACAAGCCCACATAATAGTCGCAGCGCCCCACGCACTCGGGCGACTGCGATCAGACACGAGCCGGTACCGACGGTCCCCGACGGACTACCAAGTGTATCCATAAATGAAAATGGTAACAACCGACAACCAAGTCGAGGCGAGTCATCTTCATCGTGTCCGCAAAACCTAGACAGTATAGGGCGCATTATTTTCGTCAGGCTAATTTGCTATTTACTGAATTACTATTACATATCGCTGTTAGTAAACAAATAAATGAAATTATTTCACAGTACTAAGTCATAAAATATTTATTTTTGAGATTTTTAACTGTTACCAATGGTAACAATGGTTACATGGACGCTTCGCCACTGCAGAACTCATGTCAACAAGCCTTACGGTATCCATTATTTGTTTTCACGGTGTTATAAATTGGTATACCGAAATGATGCACAAACTGTCATAAATAATTGGTCTGTATACATATTCTCCTTTCTGGGCGCAAGGTTTTATTATATTATCGTTTATTTTATACATTTACTATCTTTATCTATCGTGCATATGTCAACAAGATTATGGCTCTTCATGTCTTCAGACAGCGCATGAAGAATTTAAAATATGTGGCATACTGAATTCCGTAACACCTTTGCTAAAAATACGCCAAAGTACCCAATTCTCGCCAGCAGAGCGAAACACGTTCTGGACGCGGCTAAATATTCATACTATCTGAATGAAGTGCTACAAACCATTTACAGAGATAAATGCAAAGTGAGTTGTTGAAATTCTCCTCCAGACTTTAATACGATTTCTTAATTACATATGCACGTGCAATGTAGGCAAATGGTATCACTATAGAAATCCAGATTCATTTTTAGATAAGTCCTTTGTTTAAAATCAGCGATTGGTTTTAGTTCATACAATGGACAAGTTTATCATTTTGTTATTAGCTCAAATGAAAGTTTATGAAAAATGATACAAGATGGTGAAAAAATTATTAATTTATCTCTAAAAACAGAAAAGTTACAGCCTATCAAAGTTGCGCCCCGCGAGAATATTTTTATTCCGTCTGTACGCTACGCGTGACGTCACACTTCCAGTTGCAACGTCCGCGGCAGATTCCTGGACCCAAGCCGACTCGGGACATATGGTAAGCTAAATGTCTTCCGCGCCAATTTGTTTAATTAGATGACTGCATATACGATCGGTTATGAGCAAAATAAGGGAAAAGGTTGTTATAAATACTGTAGCGTTCCAAAATGTACGAGCACAACAATTACAACCCCTAATAAACATTTTTTCTACGAACCTTCACATGAAAATATAAGGAAGAAATGGTGCAAACTTATGAAGTTACTAGTTATTATATGATTTCCAAGCTCACTTCACTGTACACGCGGCGTTTGGAGGAGAAATATTTATCAACTAATATTGCAGGTCAGTTGGCCCAACTATTGAAATCTTAGTTTTATTCTTATCAAACACAAATAATAAAAATGTAGCAGGGTGCTATAGGTTTAAAATATTAACAATGAATATTTTGATAATATATACAGAGTACGGCAGAGAGGATGGACGGTTTCAAAAAAATCATAAAATAGTTCATTTTTACTCAAAAACAAATTTATTGATGGAATCAGGTTCACAAGGAAATAGCATTTGAGACAGTCAAGTGTGGAAAATCACACCAGGCAAGTCGTGGCCGAAATCGTTGATGCAGTGCTGGAGGCGTTCTTGGAAGTTCGCGTAGACTCTCTCCAACATCGCTCTCTCAACTTGGGCGACTTCCACGCGAATCTCGCCCTTCAATTCGTCCAGAGTTCGGGGCTTGTTTGCGTATACTCTAGCCTTGAGGTGTCCCCATAAGTCAAAATGAGGTTCTCACTTTGATCGATCAGTGCTTCCATCTCACGTGCGAAGTTCATTCCGGGCTGTAACTGTTGCACAATGGCCAATTTGTAGGGGTGAAAGCGGAGATCCATATGCAAAATTCGCCTTACCGAACGACCACTAAGGCGAAGTGCAGCAGCATGTTTCCGGGCAGATCGAGTCGGACTGCGAAGAAAGACCTGTCGAACGCGTTCAACATTTTCAGGAGTTCGAACTTCGCGGCGCTCCTCTTGGTCTTCTGTTGATCAGTTCACCACGCCTGCTAAGTGATTCAACCCAACGAAGGATGGTGTTTCGAGAGGGAACAGCTCTATTCCGATGAATGTTGAAGTGGCGACGAAACTCACGCTGTACGACGATGACTGACTCACTATTTCGGACAAAACAATCATAGGCGAAAACGCGGTGCTCCACCGTCCAAGGCTCCATAACGACAACTGGTAAAATAATGCTCGGATCTCACGAGTCAAACGCCACCCTCCCTACCTCTCTCGTAGATGGAGAAGGAGAGTACTACCCATCACAAAAACGTCCGTCCTCTCTGCGGCACCCTGTAGTAGAAAAGACCACTCCCTAATCAAATTTGTAGCATAAAAATAACACATGTTGCAATTACAGCATATCAACCTATTTTCATTTCAATGCAAAATAAGTCTATAACGCATAGGTGGCTGTGAAAAATAAAAGCCATGACAATTGTTTTTATTAATCACAGCTGTCAGAATACGTTTAAAATAGTTTTGGGTAGCTAAAATTCGGTGACTGATAATTAAATTTTTTAATTCTGGGAAATCAAACTAAGAAATTGCAACTTTGTTAGACTTATCGCTGTACAGTGTGAGAAATATTGTTAGAAGATATAACGTAACTGGTTCAGTTAATATTAAGCCACGATATGTGAAAAAGAGTAATATCACAAATGCCGACCGAAGAGCATTAAGAAGAATAATCGTGAAAAACAGGCGCGCCAATTATTTACAATTGAGTGCTCTATGGAGTGACGCTGTTGGAAGGAGAATATCGAGGTCCACAACTCATAGAGAGGCCCACAAACTGGGATTTAGCACTTGCAAGGTAAGTTTTCTTATAAAAAAAAGTGAAGTAAAAACCCTAAAGTTGCACAACTTGTTTATAGGCCAAAGAAAAGCCACTATTAACTCCACTGCAAAAGAAAAATCGGCTTAAATGGGCTAAAGAACATAGACAATTGACACCTCAACAATGGTGTGCAATACAATGGAGTGATGAGGCCCGATTCGAAGTTTGTGTTGGTGACAGTCGCAGTAGAATTATTCGCAAAAAAATGAAGCATTCCATGTTGACTGTCTGAAGAGAAAAGTGAAATTTCCAGCATCCATTATGGTCTGGGGCAGTATGCCATCAAAAGGAGTAGGAAAACTTCATTTTATTGATGTAAATGTGGATACAAACAAATATTTGACAATTTTAGAAGAATCGCTTTTACCAGTGATGGAAGAATGTTTGACATCCGGCCAAGATTTTGTGTTTCAGCAAGATGGTGCAGCGTGCCATACGTCAAAAAAGGCTATAAAATGGATGGAAGAAAATAATGTACCACTTTTGAAATGGGTTTCTAGCAGTCCAGATCTGTCACCTATTGAAACTTTGTGGCACGAGATGAAAAAGGTTCTACGACAACATCCTGCTCGTACAATTACCGAACTGAGACAAAAGCTTCAAGAAATGTGGGATTGTTTTACACCAAATTTTTGCCAAAACTTGGTTAACACTATGCCCCAAAGAATTTCAGCCGTAATAAAAAATAAAGGTGATGTTACCGCATTTATTCGCACATTGTTTATTTGTTCAGATGTTGTATTAGTTATAGGTCTAAGTGATTTCAAATATGTATTCTTTACGACTAGAGTGCATCTAAAATGTTTTTGAGAAAATAAATTGTTTTAGAAGTAAATAGTTTCGTCATGTTTAGTTTATAAAGGCATATTTTGGTAGAAATCTTGAAGTGGGATAACTGAAGTGGGAAGGGGCTCGTATATGTCACTTACCCCCCCAAAAAGGTGTAAAGTACGTTGACTGTTTACTGTGTTCACGTGGCAAGTAGAATGACTCGGTACTTCCTAAGCATTCACGTATATATACGTATACTCATTTTCAAACCTTCCATAAGTCAAGGCAAGCCTTGCTAAACGGCAAAAGCAAACGTTTTAAAAATTTTTAAAAATTGTAACTTTTTCACATAGATGTTTGATTTACCCTTAAATTGTTCAGAACTTTGTAAAGCATACATACTTTGGGACAATCTTGAATCAATTTCAATTTTTACTCATAACACCTGTGCCATTTAAATAATTTCCAAAAAAGAAGTAGTAGTAGTAGAATTACTGACTCCGCATGGAATTACGTTTTGCAGATATCGCAAAACAATAAACATTTATTTGAAATTCTTAAATTTTCACATTCACAGTACATCCCCGCCCTGAAAAATTCTGCTATCAGAATGCTGTGGAAAAATTAAATGCCAAAATGAATAGCATTCGAACTACCTATAGACGAGAATTGAAAAAAATTAATGATTCTGTAAAACCCGGAGCAGGTGAAGACGATGTGTATGTACCATCCATTTGGTATATTTCTTTCTTGGATTTCTTGAAGGACCAAGAGGCTCCAGGGGTTGATTCAATTGATTGCGAAAACAGGGATACAACCAATAAAGCACCACATGAAAGCGTAGCAGATATTTTCAGCGACCCACGTTATGTGTGGAACCTATCAATACTGTTGATTTGAGTACAGTTTAGTTAAAATTGAAGCATTATGTTTATTATCTATTATTATTTATGTTGCTTACGTTGTAAATGAATGTGGGCTTATTTAGAAATGAAAAACTGAGTTCATTGACTATATTTTATTGGACAATATTATTATGATTGATTACATTACAAAAGTCATCCCTTGTTCTTTTTCCTAAGTTACTTGAATTTCTGGAATGTGATGGCTCAAGAGCTACCATGTTAAGCCCATTTTGCGATGAACCGCTGCTTCCGGTTACATTTACTGAATGTGGTGTATCCTGAAGCCGCAAAAAAATACGTAAATAACAACAGGTCAGCACAGTAGTCGTTGCTTTAGCGGGACATAAATTTATAGGTTTTGATAGGACTTGAAAACGATTGGCCAGCATTCCAAATTCCACTTTAACACGAGCTGAACTGAGTTTCGCGATAAAAAGCTCCTGCTGACTACTTATACGATATCCTTTATACGGCTTTAAAATGTTTTCCTTTAACGGAAATGCATCATCTGCTACAAACACAAATGGTAAGATTTGTCTTCCAGGTTCCACTACTCTAGGTGACAAACTTGGTGTTAGAAAGCACACCTCCATCTGACACGCGACCGTTTTGCCCGACATCAACCATTAAAAATTGCAGATCAGCATTCACGACTGCCGTCAAAACAATACTGCCTAACATGTTTCAATGACAATTTTTCTTATAGCTTGTGGAGACACTGCGTAAAAAAACTTCAAGTCTTCAAAATGATTTCCCTTTGCTGGAAATCGGAGAGTAATATTTAATCTTGTTTCTGCGGAAATGGCTTCCCGCATCAAAGTATTCTGTTTCGCTATAGAAGGTCCAATTTTGTAGAGAAGTTCATCAAACGTTGCACAGGTCATTCTAAAGTATTTTTTATAATCTACCGGTTCACTTCTCTTAAGATGCGTCAACAATCTCCCATTAGAAAATGTTTCCTTCTCCAAAAGCCATTTTTTCACCCATGTTCTTGGCTTACGCGTTTTACTTTCCATATCATCTTCATCACACACCTCAGAAATTATCATTAAAGTCAATATGTCTTCCTTACTACACATTTCTTCACAATATTACCGCAGATGAATAACGACATCTTCGCTGATTAACTCACTAATCAAATGAAAGTTGCAACTTTGTTGGCTTATTTGTCTGAACGTGTGTGCTGAAGGGATCAAACCACTTTCCAAACATATTTGAAAATAAATTTGACCATTTTTGGTTCACTTAATAGGCATACGTAGGTGTTTACCTTTTTTTGTTCACTCAGCATATCTTATGATAAAGCAGACACAAAGCTAGAGTCCACATACGATCAAGTTAAGACGCGAAGAAGTCTATTTCAAAATTCGGATTATAAATTCTTTTAATGGAAACAGAACATGTTTGGATACTTACCGATCCACGTTCGGTCCAAATAAATGGATACGAAGGACGGGGGAATTGTGAAATAGTCTACGAACGAGTACATCTCTAGCATGAACCATAACTTATCACTAGCTGCTATAAACTGAAACAGAAACAAAACATTTATTAACAACTCACATTTATCAAAAATATCAAGTTCTATTTTAGAAAATACAACTAATACCTTTATATGAGACGTCACAGAACGTTCAGAATAATTCATGGGGAGTATGATGAAAATTTGCTCAGAGGTTTCAAAATGTTTTCAGCTACGGTATTTTTATCTCTTCTGTACTGTCCAAATGTATTCTACAATAAACGGTCAAACAGCTTCATTACAAAATGGTAACGTTTTTCAGTGTAACTTTAAATGTTGAGGCTGCAAGTAACTATGAGCTGTTTTTATTGTTACGTTCACAATCGCAAACTTCTGAAATAACTTTTATGAAATTTTATAGGCTGAATAATCATGTCCGATTACGTGTTAACAAAAAGTGTTAATTTCCAAAAAACGACTAAAGTTCGGTGTCAGTCCATTAATTTCTGCCAAACTGTTAGATCACACCTACTACCTACGACTATTTGAATGTTTGTTTACATTTGTCCAGTTATCTTGCACGTAATTTCAAACCTTTAAAGCTTCATAATCAATGATTTGCTTATTCATAAATTTTTTTGCACTTTGGATCACAATTTTAAATTCATTTTCTCTAGGACCCTATATGGTGTTCTTAATATTAAAGGCGTTTGCAACTGTTATTTTCTTAGTTATAAAGACAATCTTGTCCTTAAAATAAATCCAATCATTTTTCGAAACGTTTATAAATACAATGCTGTAACATATTAGCATATTTAAAATAGCCACCATTTATTTTTTAATTTCATCAAGCAGGTCATGCTAACTAACGAAATATTGTACATCCGATAATTTGGCAGGATATTAGGACACAGCCTCTGAATGTTGCCAGATCTATTGCTTTGGCGGCAGAACTACGCAAATATATATATACAGGGTGACTTCGAAGTGGAGTCATTTATTTTAACAGTGAGTAGATCTGATCAAAGTAAATGTTTTTTTCCTTTACCATTTTCCTGGTAAAATTAAAGTAACAAAGTTATAGCCCTTTGGAAGTTTGAGTACCGCCCTGTCTCAATAACAATATTATGTGGTCGTGTTTGGCGACAATGGATATAATCCGCCGTATCGGTTCATCGCATCGGAAACAAAAAAGCGAAAGAATTTGGAACGATGTTTTTACAGGTATCTCATTCATTTGTATACAGTTAGTGTCAGTGAATAGTGGTATGTGTTGCGTGGCTCAAACGAAATAAAAAATGGCACATGTTTATGCGGATCGGTTTCCCAATCGAGTGCAACCAACCCCTCGTGCCTTTGTTAATGTAGTACAACGGGCTTGTGAATCAGGTGACTTAAGACCTCACAGGGGACCTCACGATCAAATACAGGTCCGCACTGAAATACTTGTCGGGAGGATACTTTATAAAACAAGGTAAAATTTTTTTTTTATTTTTTTTTTATTTTTACACACATATTTTGGTTTATCTTCCTTCTACAATCATTATCTGAAAATTAATGACTCAACTTCAAAGTCACCCTGTATATATATATATAGAGAGAGAGCGAGAGAGAGAGAGAGATAGAGAGAAAATTATCATGCGGAGAAAAGTATATAACAAAAAATAGGAAAATAATGATCAAAATCCGCAAAAAGGGAAAGTGGATTCGAGCAGAAGATAGGATAGTTAACCCGAGCAATACGTATTTCTGCTTGTTGGCTTCATCAGGCCCGAAATGAATGCACATATGCAACTACAAAAGTAGATACACATGCCCATACATCCGTATACGGGTACCTGAGGAAACGAAGATGGAGAGGGAAGATAAAATGACACACGAAGTCCTCAACAATCCGGATGTATGGGCATGTGTATCATTTTTTGGGGTTACATATGTGCATTTATTTCGGGCTCGATGAAGCACAGCAAAGTTGTGTATTTAGGTAACTAACAACGTGCCGCTCAGAAAGTTCCGAAATTCAAAGTATTTCTGGAGATAGACGGTAAAACATGAATTGTTCCAAAATTAATACTGGGATTTTAAATTAATTGTACACTAACAATGCCACTTTTTCTGGTCTACATGTCGTTTTGTCTCTGACGCCATATTGGATTATTAGGCGGATGAATAGAGTTTCTAATTGTGACTACCAAATTATCAGATAGTCGTATTTTCCCTATACCAGACCAGACCTCATATTGAACATAGTAATACAGTTTGGAAGACTAAGCAGAATGGAAATGTATCGAGCAGTGAACAATGTACATCATACCTTTTTATTACCTTATAATTTAATACATCACTGAGTTTAGGACTGAACAGTCCATTTAAATGTACAAAATATCCATATGAAAAAACAAAGTTGGTGATGGAAGTCGAAATAAGACAGCTCGAATTGTACGAGTATATGAGAATAATTGGGAATAACAACATGGAATTTAATTTCCCCAACTCAAATTAAGTTAAGGAAAAATAAAAATGATTTTGCGTTAAATCTGGTATATGAAACAAATAACTGTCCGATAATTTCAAAGCCTATGTAGGTAATTCAGTTTTTTGTTTAAATGACTTTGGCAATGTCAATGTATGGCATATTATACCTTTTTGGAATATGTCGTTCTTAAAAAAATAAAGTTGATGCTGCAAGACAAGAGAAGAAATGTCATATTGAAATTCTAATTATGCTATCTTATAGAGGAGAGAAAGTGGCTATGTTAATGTGTAATTTTCCTTGAAATCCCAGTACAAATAAATCCAGGAAAAAATTAAAACGATTTTGGGAAAATTCGGCTTCTTCCGTCTCTCCTCGGAAGTACTTTGAATTTCGAAACTTTCTTAGCAACAATATGTTAATTACCTGAATAGGCAATTTTGCTCCCACTCAAGCGACTTCGTATGTGTTACCGTCTTCGAGATCCCAATGTGAGGATCAGATTTGAAATACCCGGTATGGGACGATGATGTCACATATTTGTGAATAAGGTAATTATTTTTGCACAAATTATCTCTCATGAGTTATATCAGCCGTTTCTGCTGATATGCTAGAAACAATGTTGACCAGGCCACTACTTTCCACTAAGCCTCATAACAATATTGTAATAATTTTTGAAAAACACATTGTTTAGTTTTGAATTTTTAAAAAAGCTATCTCGAGGTATCGATTTTATCTCTCAAGAGAAAAAATGTATCACGTCACTGCATTTCCAGACCCAGTAGTGAATTAATTCAATTCGCGTTTGCTTTTAGATCTGGCAACAGGGGACTGGGTGAAATTCTCCACGTGCCTCTATACTTACTCTTATAAAAAAATACACCATAAAAAATATGTTGAAGGCAAGGTCGATCTGTTGAGTGACGTTCTCGCTCCACTTCTGGCATCGCTCCACTCCTTCACTAAATACAAGACATACCAACTTAGTTTTCATGGACAAATTTATTCATAGAGAACTGTCCTAGAATCTTCCAGCGTGAAAATGATACACTAGATGGTAAAATACTATTTTTTATTATAGAAATAGATGATCCATTGGTCAAGGTTTTTGAAATTTTGCTTGTACAATTTAAAATTTGGTACAATATATCCGACGTTCCATTTTAACTAAAAACAAAATATTAATATTTTCGTGATGCCTAATGTTGTGATGTCCCTAATCATGCTCTTCCTCTCTATCAAGGCCATCTGTCAAGTTTTTGACAAGAATTACAACGAACCATTGGCTTTCCTATTAAAACCACCGATATTTTAACTAAAGTGGAAATAAACGTCTACTGGCGTTACTACTGTAATCGCGAAAATTTTCATAGTGTTTTCTAAGCTCTGACCACCAAGCCTCAGTGCCATGACTGCCCGAGCGGGATATAGGGGAGAAGCGACCTTTCCAAGTGCACTACCGGTAGGACCGGTCAAGAATGTCTATGGACTAATTATTATAGTGGACCCCCGATAATCCGGCCCCTGTCTAATCCGGCGCCCCCTGTAATCCAACATGTCTTTGAATATGTATTACATACATACGTATTTGACAATCTTCGCTAATGTAGATCACGCAGGTTGGAACAGGTTACAACTTTTACGCGCCACCGCCATCGTGCTCGACGCGTAAGCATTGTTTTACTTAGTTTGAGTTTGACTACTGGCGATAGCGGTACAGCCTAGCGTGCGTTCATTGTTTACTATTTATTCATTGTATATTAAGTATAGTACCTAGTAATGTCATCACAAACTCAGAAGCGAAAGCACAAAACATTGACAATTAAAGAAAAATGTGATATTTTAGACCGCTCAAATCGCAATGGAACTTTCAGTAGTTTAGCAACTGAATCCGGCGTAGGCCGATCTACAATTTATGACATTAAAAGAAACCACGAGAAGATCAAGAAGTTCGTGTTAACTACTGACTGCGGGCCAGTCAAGAGACAGACACTCAAGAAACCTGAACATCCAGAAGTGGAAGAAGCTTTGTAAATGTGGTTTCTTCAGGACAGAAATAGGCACCTATTTCAAGACCCATGTTGGCCATGAAAGCTAAGTTTTTGTATAAGGAAATAACAAAAAAAGATGATTTTGTGGCCAGCAAAGGATGGCTAGAACGTTTTAAAAGTCGTCATGGCATACGTTTAATGACTATTACAGGAGAGAAACTTTCTAACGATGCCACCTGCATAGAGCACTTTAAATTAAGATTTTTGCAAAAGGTGAACGATTTAAATCTTGAGCCGTCACAGGTGTACAATGCAGACGAATCAGGGCTTTTTTGGCGTGTGATGCCTAACAAAACTTTCGTTTCTTGTAACGAAAAATCCGTATCTGGACGAAAAGTAAGTAAAAAGCGTGCAACGATACTACCATGTGCTAACGCTGCGGGCACACACGCGCTTAAGATCATGGTCATTGGGAAATCTAATAAACCACGGGCATTCAAACAACATTGATTTACCTATTACGGACAAAAAGTGCATGGATGACAAAAGACCTTTTCAAAAAGTGGTTTGATGGATGCTTCGTACCTGAAGTTAGGGAATGGTTAAAAGATCATAATTTTCTTCAAAAAGCGTTGTTGTCATTAATTACGTCATTATGTCAACCACAACCTGAACCACTTGTGAAAAAAATTTTTTATAGAGCGAAGTACAACTACAAAAAAATATTTTCACCTCGTTGTCGGTAGTTTGGAACATGTCGGTAATTTGGAGCGCTGAAATCAAATAAGATCATAGAAAAATCAAGAAGACAGGTAGAATCCTAAATCTACGGTTACCCGATTTAGCCTGGAAAGGAATCCTCGACTATATCACGGATCACAATATTCACTTCATGTGGACCTACTGAATAAGACTACACGTTAATTTCGCTTTTGATACAGTGAATTGTGTGAAATCTATTCTAGGACAGTTCCTTTTGATTCAACACATATAGCATCATGACGTAGCCGAAGAACAGTAGTACTACACATCAAATATCACTTCATTACGTCTCTAGACCATAATACGAGTATATGCTGCTAAAAGTAGCTCACAATGTTTCAGAAGCATTACATACTGTATTTTCCCAAAAAATATTTCTTGAATGTCCTAAATGAAAAGACGTAGATGTCTTCTGAATTTATTTTTGCAAAATGTTCTAGAAACGTGCTGATAACGTTAAGTCATTGTTACGGTAGCCAGAGTAAACATATTTATAAGCAGGTTGTTTAAAAAAAACAAAAACAGGCAGGACAATACTGGACAAATCTGTTATTACAACTAAGAGCCCCTTCCCACTTCAGTTGGCCCAACTATTGAAATCTTAGTTTTTTCTTATCAACCACAAATAATAAAAATCTAGCAGGGTGTTATAGGTTTAAAATATTAACTTTGAATATTTTGATAATATATAGTAGAAAACACCAACTTTATCACTCCCTAATCAAATTTGCAGCATAAAAATAACACATGTTGCAATTACAGCATATCAACCTATTTTCATTTCAATGCAAAATAAGTCTACAACGCATAGGTGGCTGTGAAAAATAAAACAATGACAATTGCTTTTATTAATCACAGCTGTCAGAATACGTTTAAAATAGTTTTGGGTAGTTAAGGTTTTCAAAATGGGTAGAGGAAAGGTTATTAGTGAGAAAATTCGGTTACTGATAATTAAATTTTTTAGTTCTGGGAAATCAAACTCAGAAATTGCAACTTTGTTAGACTTATCGCGGTACAGTGTGAGAAATATTGTTAGAAGATATAACGTAACTGGTTCAGTTAATATTAAGCCACGATATGTGAAAAAAAGTAATATCACAAATGCCGACCGAAGAGCATGAAGAAGAATAATCGTGAAAAACAGGCATGCCAATTATTTGCAACTAAGTGCTCTGTGGAGTGACGCTGTTGGAAGGAGAATTTCGAGGTCCACAAGTCATAGAGTGGCTCACAAACTGGGATTTAGCACTTGCAAGGTAAGTTTTCTTATAAAAAAGAGTGAAGCAAAAACCCTAAAGTTGCACAACTTGTTTATACGCCAAAGAAAAGCCACTATTAACTCCACTGCGAAAGAAAAATCGGCTTAGATGGGCTAAAGAACATAGGCAATGGACACCTCAACAATGGTGTGCAATACAATGGAGTGATGAGGCCCGATTCGAAGTTTGTGTTGGTGACAGTTGCAGTAGAGTTATTCGCAAAAAAGTGAAGCTTTTACCAGTGATGAAAGAATGTTTGACATCCGGCCAAGATTTTGTGTTTCAGCAAGATGATGCAGCGTGCCATACCTCAAAAAAGGCTATAAAATGGATGGAAGAAAATAATATACCACTTTTGAAATGGGTTTCTAGCAGTCCAGATCTGTCACCTATTGAAACTTTGTGGCACGAGATGATAAAGGTTCTACGACAACATCCTGCTCGTACAATCTCCGAACTGAGACAAAAGCTTCAAGAAATATGGGATTGTTTTACACCAAATTTTTGCCAAAACTTGGTTAACACTATGCCGCAAAGAATTTCAGCCGTAATAAAAAATCAAGGTGATGTTACCCAATGGTAATCTTTCAATTGTTGCTTTTACTTCGCGCATTTATTCGCACATTGTTCATTTGTTCAGATGTTCTATTAGTTATAGGTCTAAGTGATTTGAAATATGTATTTTTTACGACTAGAGTGTATCTAAAATGTTTTTGAGAAAATAAATTGTTTTAGACGTAAATAGTTTCATCATGTTTAGTTTATAAAGGCATATTTAGGTACAAATCATGAAGTGGGCCAACTGAAGTGGGAAGGGGCTCGTATAGTCTTAACCGAATCTGAACGCCTTACTGGATAGCACAAATTATGCCTTTTTTAAATCCAAACAAATAATGAGGGGGAAAAAGAAGTTCAAAAGAGTTCAAAAGAGTTCAGGAATTTTTTAAAATTCCTGATTTTTCTCAGTCACGCTTGCTACAGTTCGTCGAGTGGTTTCAGTACAATGAAAGTTGTTAACAATCTGAGATATTTTTAAATTTCATTCAAAAAGAAATTTGAATTGCGCAATTTTATCTTATTCTATAAAGAAATAAGATTTCCTCTACGTAGATCGCTAATTTCACTTGCAATAATAAGCGCATTTAGGGAGTTGCATCACTTGAAGGGCTGATTGTAAGCTCCCATCTGACACAAACGGCAGCTGACATAAGGCGTTAAAGAGCTATCATTTTCTAAATGCGCCCATTCACGTTACAATACAATACAATTATGATTTATATTTGAAACATTTGCCAGTCTTTCAGGTGTCTGATGCATTTATTTGTGTAAACAAATATGCAGCCAAAATTTCGTTTAACTGCGTCTGCAGTCTGAGATTATGTATCGTAACAAGGCTGCCAAATTCCCCAAAAAACGAATTTAAATCATACTTTGCATGCATCATTTGGTGTGCCCACTTCTTGATGTCAATGTCCTGTCAGTACATTTTACTAAATAGTTTACCTTTGAATATTGGCTTTTTCACTTTGATTTAGATAAAGTTGATTATCATTCTTTAAATAAATACATTTAGACTAAAGCTGGACAGTCGCAACAAATAATTCAATATTTTAGTAGTTTCAGTTGGCAAGCAATCGTCAAAAAAGTAATAATTTGTGTTACTTTTTGTGTACAGGTTTAGACAGGTTAAGAAGATACTTATCTTAAAGCGAAGCTATTCAAAATAGGTATGTATATTTACCCCAGATGGTGACTAAAACAAAATAAAATTCAAAATTAAAGTAAAAAATGTATGGTGGGACTAAATTAACTACGGATTAGAGGATTGAATTAACTTGTCTCAAAACGTAAATTCTTTCATTCTTATACATAAACGTAGTCATACTGAAACATGGAAATTTCACTTGTTTTGCGATATCATTTAGAGCAAAATATATGTTCTGATCTAATATTATTGTAAGGTAATAATTTTATAACTGAGAATCTAATATCATGAACGATGGTCTTCAAATACATGGAATTTGAGTTATTAGGTGTTAATCGAGTTCTCCATGTTTCGGAATGACAAGAATTTATGAAGGATATAGCATATTTCTAAAGGTATAAGTAGATCTATTCTTCCTACTTTTTATAGCTACCTGATATAATGGGTATTTACAATATGCATAAGTAACTTCTAACAATACACAATACCATTCAAAATTATTTGGGAAGATATTTTAGCTGATATTCACGAAATATGTTGGGAAGCAGGGAACTTTGGGAGAAAATATAAAATTACATGAAGGACCAGAAATAAGAACGAATTTCAAAACCGCATTGCTCGACAGGCACGCGGGTGCGGTACACGGGTAGTGGGGATAAGTAGCTTGGTGGTCGGAAATTTAGTCGCCATGGAGCGTTTCACCGGTGAGCAGCGTGCTTTCTGTGTTAAGGCTTATTATAAAAATGGAGATTTGTGTACTATTGCGTCTGCTTCGCTGTTAGTTTAGTTTACATGAATTAAATCAATGTCTTATTGAAAGTGTGATCAGCTCGTGAGTCAGAAGGTTCGAGTCCACCGGTTCGACACTGAATTAGAAACCTGCGAACTAAGGCCCATCCGAACAGAGGAAACTGTAAACAAGGTTGCGACGTCCGTACCGCGCTATCCATAGTTATCATCTCGAAAGAGATCAGTTGAGCTCGTCATATCAAGAAAATCTGTAAGGCATATCTTTTGATAACGCATCCATATGAACTTCAACTAGTGCAGGAATTGAAACTGCAGGACCACCATCTATGCGGTGCGTTTGCCGAAACAATGTTAGAGGGCTTTCCAAGTTTGAACAATATTCTCTTTTTCATTTGAGTGGATTTGTCAACAAGCAAAATTACCGGTACTGGGCCACAGAAAATCCCAAATTAAAACCCCAACGACCTTTTGATTCCCGTTATTTTACAGTTTGGACGGCCATGTCGGCTGAAGGAATCATCGGACCCTATTTCCTCGAAAACGAGTAAAGCCATACTGAATCAGTAAATTCTAATCGCTACGCAGCAATGCTATGTCACTTTTTCTTTCCACAAATGCCTAATTCTAAAGCATACCATAGCATGACTTAGTTTCAACAAGATGGCGCGACATCACATACCGCCAACGAGTCTTTAGCAGTTGTAAGCCAAATGTTTAGTGGAGGGGACATTCCGTGGCCTCCCCGGACCCCAGATCTCACACCACTGGATTTTTTTATCTGGGGATACCTCAAGAGCCGCGTTTACACCAATAAACTGACGACGACTGCCTAGCTCAAGCATAATATTTCCGCTATCCCACGCGCTGGTGCCAACGAGTTTTCACGAATTTGAAGTCGAGATTCGAAGAGTCCGTACGTCTCGATGGCTCACATCTCAATAGTGTTATTTAAAAAAAATAAAATTACCATGTGTCTACTTTATTTTAAAAAAATTATCTTCCCTACGCTTTGTAGTTTTTTCTATGATTTTTGAAAATCCGCTCAACTTAATGGCCCACCGTGTATTTTAAACTTCTCTGAATTTTGGTATTTGTCGCTTCTAACCCTAAATCACTTAAATATTGATCATCTTTTGAATGTTTTTATTACTTTTTGTTTTGATTTAGGCTATGTGATCAAAAGTTAAGGGCATGTCTAGTCAACTGTTAACTTATGATTTGTTTGAACCTAAACTAAACGGTATCAACTAAGGATGATAATAAATTTTCATACACATTTCTAAATACACTACTTAATATAAGTTGGGTACGTCCATCAGAAAACGATGCTATAATTCATTAATTCTTCTTTCTCAACTTCAGTAAGGTTCAATTGTGATAAAATACGATATACTCACATACTGATCCTGTTATCTCGAAGCCTGTTGACGCTAATCAAATATCAATCAATCAATCAGCTTTAGAAGTATGCTATATTCGATCAGATTTAAATTAGTAATATGACTACTACTGTTTTGAAAAAAGCGGTAATATGGAGGACAGAAACGTATTGTCATATTGGTTAAAACATAAAAGTCTCCTTTGTAAAGTTACGTGAACATGCTTAACACTTACTTTGATGCGTCTATGAAGTATATTATTAAAGATGCTATACTTAGTATAAATACTAGGACCACCTGTAACAAAAGAAGATATATAGATCCATATTCAAGATACTTTAGCGCTTTCATATCAAAAAAAAAGTTTGCCAAAAGTTTTAAGCTGCAGGTAAAAGTAAGGCCGATACGGACTAAAGAATAATAGCGATGCTAATCTTGCGTCATAAAAGTAAGATTTAATAATAATAGTAGGTATTTCGACAAGTTTGCACCGACTTACAGGAATGACATTGAAAAATGCAATAAAAACGATGAAAATATGTTCATTATTATTATGTAATTTCTTTTCAAACTGCCCAAGACCACCTGTAAATTATCAAAACTAATGATACATCCTTGACAATACTTAACAAGGCTATTACACATCCTATTTATTGGAGCCAGGTATGTTATATTTGTTCTATCAGTCCGAGTGTAAAAAGTCAGGTTGAAGCGTGTCATTTTTTAGGGCACTGCACAATTAGTAAACACGGCTAATGTGTATTTTGAAAAGTAACATTATGTCGATTTTTTTTGGTCATTATATTGGTTTTTTGTGATTTTATGTCGAGTTATTAATCTTTGGCTATTTTTTTTTTTTTTTTTTGGCTTTAGGACTAGGCCATGCAGCCAGAAACTAGGTTGGATATTTAATATATTTCTATAATTATGGACGACAAACACACGACGTCACAACATCCATGGCGAAGGCGAGATTCGAACTCGCGGCCCGGCCGGCCGGCTGATCAGTAGCACGACACTCTGACCAACGCGGCCAACCGAGGCCCCAATCTTTGGCTATGTTGCGATGTAAAATCTGCTTCCGAAATAGCATTAGCTGTAAGTTTTATACAGGGTGCGGCAGAGAGGACGGACGTCTTTGGGATGGGTAGTACTCTCCGCCTCCGTACACGAGAGGGGTGTGTGGGGGGGGAGAGGTGCCGTTTGACTCGTGAGATCCTAGCATTATTTTACCAGTTGTCGTTATGGAGCCTTGGACGGTGGAGCACCGCGTTTTCGCCTATGATTGTTTCGTCCGAAATAATCAGTCAGTCATCGTCGTACAGCGTGAGTTTCGTCACCACTTCAACATTCATCGGAATAGAGCTGTTCCCTCTCGAAACACCATCCTTCGTTGGGTTGAATCACTTCGCAGGCGTGGTGAACTGATCAACAGAAGACCAAGAGGAGCGCCGCGAAGTTCGAACTCCTGAAAATGTTGAACGCGTTCGACAGGTCTTTCTTCGCAGTCCGACTCGATCTGCCCGGAAACATGCTGCTGCACTTCGCCTTAGTGATCGTTCGGTAAGGCGAATTTTGCATATGGATCTCCGCTTTCACCCCTACAAATTGGCCATTGTGCATCAGTTACAGCCCGGATATTATGCACAACGAATGAACTTCGCACGTGAGATGGAAGCACTGATCGATCAAAATGAGAACCTCATTTTGTCTTATGGGGACACCTCAAGGCTAGAGTATACGCAAACAAGCCCCGAACTCTGGACGAATTGAAGGGCGAGATTCGCGTGGAAGACCAAGAGGAGCGCCGCGAACAGTTCGAACTCCTGAAAATGCTGAACGCGTTCGACAGGTCTTTCTTCGCAGTCCGACTCGATCTGCCCGGAAACATGCTGCTGCACTTCGCCTTAGTGATCGTTCGGTAAGGCGAATTTTGCATGTGGATCTCCGCTTTCACCCCTACAAATTGGCCATTGTGCAACAGTTACAGCCCGGAGATTATGCACAACGAATGAACTTCGCACGTGAGGTGGAAGCACTGATCGATCAAAATGAGAACCTCATTTTGTTTATGAGTGACGAAGCCCACTTTCACCTAAACAGCATGGTTAACCAGCAGAATTGTCGTTATTGGGCTAATGAAAATCCGCAACAGTTACACGAAAGACCGCTGCACAGCCCAAAAGTAACGGTTTGGTGCGCTGTATCGCAAACTTGCATCATTGGCCCTTACTTCTTCGAAGACGGTAATGGTCGTGATGTTACCGTGAACTCAGAGCGCTACGTCGACATGATCACCAACTTCTTTCTCCCTGAATTACGACGGCGACGTGTTCCAATCCGACGTGTGTAGTTCCAGCAGGATGGGGCGACCCCCCCACAGCCCGAGCATCCATGGACGTTATTCGCCCTCTCTTCCCTGGTCGCCTTATTTCCAGGTTTGGCGATGTTCATTGGCCTCCCCGGTCCCCAGATTTATCCATATGCGATTTTTTCTTATGGGGACACCTCATGGCTAGAGTATACGCGAACAAGCCCCGAACTCTGGACGAATTGAAGTGTGAAATTCGCGTGGAAGTCGCCCAAGTTGAGAAAGCGATGTTGGAGGGAGTCTACTCGAACTTCCAAGAACGCCTCCAGCACTGCATCGACGATTTCGGCCACCACATGCCTGATGTGATTTTCCACACTTGACTGTCTCAAATGCTATTTCCTTGTGAACCTGATTCCTTCAATACATTTGTTTTCGAGTAAAAATTAACTATTTTATGATTGTTTTAAAACTGTCCATCCTCTCTGCCGCACCCTGTACTATAGCGGCAGTGAATAGGTGCATAGTGAGGATTTGTGTGCTAATAATATGTGTTGATGATAATTCCATTGCTTTTTTGTTTCAAATACGCTTACTTAAGATTCATAGCTAGAAATTAGTTGCGCATTCCCTTTTTCTTATTCATTCTGGAAACTACGTATACATATGCAAATTTGCTGAATTTCAAAAATAAGAGAGATAAGGAAAGAAAATCTGTGGTTGGTGAAGGAACAGGTGAGAAAATATGCCACTGACAAGAATATTTATAAAGGAGAAAAGGTTATTGCATTATTTCTATTTCCAGTCATTTAAATTTTATTGAAATTTATTTTGCGATGTCAATAATATATTTCAATAAAAATATATTTCATAAAGTTCTTTGCAGTGCGTTCAAGGTAATCTCATAGGGGCTGTTCAAGTGTTACGTAAGCGGATTTATTACAATTATTTACCCCCCCCATCCCCCTTATCAGCAAAAGTAAGCAAAGCACTTACCCCCTCCCCCCATGCTTTACGTAAACATTTGTCAATTGATGTATTGTTTTTTTTTAATATTATAATTATAACGTTATAATTATAATTTGAAAGATAAGAAAATAGATGTAGGATAGAGATTATATTTTACTGATACGATATTCAACATAGAGTAAAGGACAAAAATATTATATCTTACTAACATAAGAAACTTATTTTAAATTTTTGGTACATATATTAAATTCAAATTAAGTCTTCAGTCCATGACGTTTTCGGTGACATTGGATTGCTTCGATTGCTGCTCAGTGTTGTGAGTTTGCTCGCTTTCATCGGATTTTGGAATGTCTACGTCGTTCTCATCGAGCCATTCAACATCATTGTAGCTCTAAATTTTGAATAATGCACATCAGTTCATTAGCACGACGGGCAGCGACTGTTACAGGTCTAACTTTCCTATCAGTGTGCGTGTTTACTTTGTTATGGATATTTTCGATGTGACGATTTGGTGACTTGACGGAAGCATGATAAAGACCACATGTTTTGCATGTTCGACTTGATAGCCTCAATTTTACCGTCGGACAAAAGTAATCGTAGGAAATCTTTTGAAGCGTAAAGCTAAATTGACTGGAAGATTAAGAAATTGCCCTCCTTCGTCCAAAACCAAATCATCAACTGTTTGTTTCGCTTTTACAGGTAGTGGAAGAAACCTATTGTCTAGTAATCTAAATATGCCACTTCTTGGACGACAGCATTCTGCATTTCTACATTTTACAATTTGAAGCAAGTATTGGCTATCACGCACATGTTCTGAATACCATTAAATGTCTGGGAAATCAGGAAGATCTTGTTCACCTGCCCAACATGTTTTGCATTAACATGATAGCCAACAATTTCCATTGAACTCCATACGTCAGCTAATACATTTCCTGCAAATTCGAAATTAGATCTTTCTAAATGTTCATCAATTGTAACGCCACGTTCATCCAAATGAGACAGAAAATGGTCATGAAGCAATAGTAAATCAGCCAGTTCCCGACTAAGAGGAGCCATTCTGCGCTCTACTCTGTTATACGCACTTCTTCCAGGAGCATTGATAGCTAAAAACAATGCATCGAGATCATGTCGCTTAAAGTGTTGTATAGCAAACCCTATGACTTTTTGATAACGTGGATTTTCATCTGGCCCTCCATCAATCGTCATGATTACCACTGGTTTTACTAGTCCATGGTCAGTTTTAGCTAATGTTCGAGAAGCGTCTCGAAATCCTGAGCATGAGTATTAGCAGTAGATGAACTATGCTTTCCACTTCGAATAGCGATGTATGTTGATCCAGAATATCCAACGGCTTGCGGTTGTCCTAGCATATTGGAAGTGATTTTGATACCAGCATAAACAGATGGTATTAATTTATGACGCTCAGCGATTACCCAATCGTGATCAGGCAATTTGATTCTATATTCCATGTGCATTAGAAGAGGTGCTTGCTGATTTGCCGCAGTTACGCCTTTATCATCTTGAGATATGAAAAATACTTGATCTGGTCCAGGTATGGATGCTATGTTCTCTAAATAATGGATTGATGTTTCATCGAACTTGCTATCTAAGTGGCGCTTGTGGTGATCAGTTTGAACCCGAATGAGCTTAACAGGGACTGTCGATACATGTCTTCGTCCCTCTGCAGAATGAAGATATGTCCCACTGCGACTGATGTCAAATCCTATTTTACGTAATTCTGGTGTGAGTTCATCAAGAGTTTTTACGCTGCGAATTGATTCCGTTCGTCTTCTATCATCTGCTGCACTCCCAAATAAAGTTATATCCGCGATTGTTTTCAATAGTGAATGTTCATTGCTTTCAAGATTAGGACATCCCACTGAATCCCTCAGAGATAGTCTCTTTTTATTTCTGGATTTTCATGACAAATATCTTCTAACTTTCTTTTCATACCATCCCTGTGTTTCTTCTGGGCAACTGCGTTTTGAACCTTCATGTTTAAAGACCGTTTTGCTGT